GGTTTAGATTTCGTACCTCCAAAATATAGGGGTAGCTGCAATTTGGGAAATATGGTCCTCATAGTTTAGTCATAAGAGCGATCCAAAGTTTGGACCCCATAATGTCAATTTTACTTTTGGCGTATTTCGCTATATCTCGAGAAGTTTTTAAGAATTGAAACATTTTTGAACACAATTATAAAATTCATTTATCCAAAAATAATTTCATGTTAAAAGTAAATTTTAAATTTATTTATTATTTTATTTAATAACAGTCGAAAAAATTTTGGCAAGGTATTCAATTTTTTACATTTCTTTAGAGTATGCAATTTTACTTGGCAAAATACAAAACTTGATCGAAATTGGTTGAATAGTTCTTGAGAAATCAAATTTTGAAAAGTCCCGAAAAGAAAAGTTGTGTTTAAAATTCGATTTCGCAGCAACTATTCGACTGATTTCGCACAAATTTAGTATTTTGCCAAGTAAAATAGCACATTTTAAAGTGATGTTAAAAATTTATAATGAATTTTTGATGTTAAAAATGTAAGTTTTTCAACAATTATTAAATAAAATAATAAAAATTAATAAATATTTACTAAAATTAATTTTTTGCTTGGAATTATCTTTGTATAACCGAATTTTATAATCGTGTGTAAAAATTCTTCACTTCGCTTAAAAAGTTCTCGATGTAAGTCAAAATACGCATTAAGTAAAATTAACATTATGATGTCTAATCTTTGGATATCTCTCTTGATAATAGGGATGATATTTCTCAGATATATATGTGTTACGGTGAAACACCGAAATCTGGAGAATGTCGTCATTCACCGGTGAATGTCAACATTCACGTAGTCGCTTGGTACACGCCCGAAATATTTGCTAAATACCCTTATTTCTGACTCTCACCGGTAAATGTCAACAATCACATAGTCGCTTTGGTGAATGTCCGAAATATTTGTAATATCCAATTTTATATTAATTTATTCGTTAATATTATTATATTTATTTGATATATTTATATTTATTCTATATTTTAATACTTACTGACGATAGATTAGAAGAAACATCAGTGTTTGGAGTAAGGAATTGAGTCCTTT